AACGACTGCTGAAAAAGAAACTGCTGCATCTTCTGAAGTCGCAGCAAATGAATCTTGTAAAGAGGGCGAGTAAAAAGAAGTGAAGCGGAGCCGGTGCCGATACACAGTGAGGATGGATTATACCCTTTATGCTTGTCTGTGACTCCCGGGTGCATTTGAAGGCAGCACGAGTGTGACACACACCTGCCACAGGGTGTATTTGATGGCTTTTGCAGAAAGAAATGATGACCATTAATATTTGTAGTGACGGCGTATAAAATCCACTAGAATTATACTTTTAATCTCACAGTTTCGCATACAGAACATCGATTCTCAAACTCTTGCATCTGCACTTGGCATCCCTACATCACATGTGGTTTGGTGCCATTCAAGGGTGAACCGAACCCAATCAAACCATACGTCCAGACATGACAGGAACCTTTTCCCGCAATTGAAATAAATAGGTTTAAATTTTTATGGCCCTGGGGTAAAAATAGTTAAACAGTTAAAGAAGAAGTTCTTGTGGTTCAACATGGAAACTACCATCATTAACAAGTACAAACAAACAAACTGTTCCAGATCAGAATTTAGCAGCAAAACAGAACTGGAAACAAAGTTTATTTGTTGGGGGAATCTACAATGTGAACCAGGGGGTAAATGCAGAGTAAAGGGAGGGGGGTCTGGTGGTGACTTCCCCCTACCATTAGTTCTGTCTAAAATAATCCAAAAATATAAAAAAAACATTTTCTAGTCCATGTCCTTGACTCCAAATCCGATCCTTGTTCCTTGAACACCAGCTCAGGCGGCGGTCTCTGTGCTAGCCCGTAGAATTGCTATTAATTTTCCAAGGGGGCGCCACTGAGTGACAGTTATCCTGGTGGTGGTACACAGAGTAAAGGCACTAATTCATTCAAGCCCACTTCATAAAAATAAAAACCTAAAGCCAGATGCTGCTGTGTCCTTTTTTACGGCCCCGCGCCTGTCTTTTCAGTTAGTGATCATCAGCAGTGAGGCAGCGGTTCATTACTGTGCTGCTGGGACAGGACACAACAGCAGCCAGTGAATGTGACTCAGCCTGGCACCATAAAGCTCCAGCTGTAACCTTCCATCAATGATATGCCAAAGTGCCTGAGCTGCCCACACAGGCTCCCATAACATTAGCATAAAGATATAAGGCTGCGACCACAGAGTTGGGGTGGCTAATGGTTTTTCTTGGGTTTTTGACTTTTTACGAGGTCTCTCTCATTTAATAAAGCAAACCATTTAACATTGATAGTGATTTCCAGAAACGTAATTTCCACATCTTATTTATTACATCTTTTAGCGTGTAGCTGCAGTTTGACCGTGTTTTCATAATAAAGCAGGAAGAACTGCCGTGTTCCCAGCAGCCTGCCAGTTCTGTCTGGGTATCGTTTTACTGCAGAGCCTGGACCCAGTCAGAAGTTTCCTCAGCTTCAGTCCTTTCTGTCTAATTCGACTCTGTGGAATCTCTATTTTTAGCATTTCAAGTCTCCGTCCAAGGGGTTACGTAATCCTGCTCTTATTTGTTTTGGATTATTTGACAATCCCAATGAAATGTGAACAGACTTATTGCCTCAGACGGTCTGTGCTGTTGTCGGGTAGATGTTTGTGTTCTAACGCTCACACAGAAGGTCACGGGCTGTTCAAGGGGTCGTATCGTTTTTGTTAAGTGTCAGTGTTGGTTATAGTTTGTAGAAAACGACTTCAGAATTATTCAGGAGACGGAACCACACACAAAAACACAGGGATCTGGTTACGACTGTGGTACCAACAGAGATTGAAGTGAGGCTGGAAAACCACTGGGTTGCCCCGGAGCACGTGCAACTTTGTCTTCAGTTAATACCCTGGGGATATCACTCTCTGCCTTCACTTCTCCATGAAATACCCCAGGGATTAACACTGGACAGACAGAATCAGCTCAGGGTTCAGTCTTCAGAGGAGAGACTGGAGAAGTTGACAGGCCAGGGTGACGGTGACTGGATGACTGTTGAGACTGGCACCGGCTTCCCCAGGACCCTTGAACTAGAATAGAGAAGAAAAAGATCGAGGAATAGTTCTCTCCAGGACCCTTGAACTCATCTGGTAGAGTAGAGAAGAAAAAGATCGAGGAATAGTTCTCACTGCTAATTTTTAATCCTGGTTTTGAGTTTTGATAGTATTGCTATACTTTCAAATTTTTTCAAATTTGTAGTCAGTATTCTGTTCGGTCAAAAATAGAACCAGTGATCATCTGGCTTTCAAAAGTTGACGATTCTTTCTCAGCGTCAACCCCATCAACAGGCACCAGAACACAAAAATCGACGACATGTCTTGTCTTTTAGCACCAATAATTAGTAAAAATAAGTTTTTTACTGTAAAATACTTCACTTTAAAAGCAGCATCTCCCTGGTGTTTCTGTCATTTTCATTGTCTCCAGGCTGAAACCCAAGATGGTATTCCGTCCAACCTGACAGGAGATGTGATCCACAAGATTGACAAGGACTATGGCTTTGTCTGCCTCAACAAGGACCAGGACCACGGCCTCTGCCGCAACTACAGAGTCCGCTTCCTTTGCGGGAAACTGGGTACGTTAGCCAGTGAGAATGCTAATTTTGAAAATGCTAAAGTCAAGTTCAAGTCAAAAAGTTCTAAGACGATTTATTATTAAATCAGAATAAATCAAAAATTTTAACCAATACAAATATATACATATATATTGGTTTATTTGGTATATTTTTTGTAACCTTCATGTGTGCAGAAAGAGCTCTGCCCTCCCTGCCTCTCTCCTGATGCTGTCAGTCCAGTTTTAACCACGTGTGGCCCACAAATAATAAACACAGTCAAATTTACTTTTCATACTTTTCAATCAGTGGATTGTTTGAGCACAGAAAATGTGGGTTTTTTGTAAAAGAAACCCCTTGTACTCTCCACACAAGTGTACTGTAAAATGTAATACTCCCCGTTAGGGATCTTAAGCAGCTCAGTAAATACTATATACACAAACTGACGGGCGGGGCTCCACAGAGTGTTGTGTGTGTGGGTATATGGAATGCAGGCAGCACATATCACGGTGCAGCACAACAGTATCAGAGTTCACCGGCTGTGCATCAACCACTGCCAGGCACTGACATCTCTGCCCGGGCTTGTCTCTGTGTGTGTGTGAGTGTGAGTACACGGGCGTAATCCTTTGTCGAGATTGACACCTGGTACAGCCCGTTTGCATCGCAGTGCAATTACCCCACACACACAAACAGTGTGCCCTGTACCCACCCACCAACTTTAGGAACATGATGTTTTCACACATGACTCAGATTCCTTTTTTTGCCACATTTCAAACTGCTGGCAGCCCCTTCAGGAATTCTAAAAAATGACAACAACCCATGTTTCCTGCACAGGAAGCCTGATGCGAATAAATGAAGGGGTCCAAAATAAAGTTATAACTGCTAAGTTTTAACACCATGACGGATTGAATATCTATATACATATATGGTATAGACCTCCACAGTCATCTAAGACTTACCTCACCTTTCTCTCCAGTTCGTCCCCAGGCCTCCCTGTCCATCGACATCTTGTCCAACAGCAGCATCCTGGAGCTCGGTGACCAACCAGAGGGCTGGACTCCAGGGGATCGAGTGGTGGTGGCTAGTACCGATTACTCCATGCACCAGGCGGAAGAGTTTACCCTCATACCCTGCCCTAAATGCTCACCCAATCAGATCAAAGTCCAAGGTGTGACCACTGTCTTACAATAGTGATGTAATACCCAGTGACAGGGCAGTGTTTCCCAACCTTTTCTGAGTCACAGCAAATATATCAATCGTTTTCATTAGAAAAACACACATTTCACCAGCAAACATAAATACAGAAAAGGTTTATGTAATGAAATATAATGATCTTCTTCAATTTATCTTCAAGGAGGTCACAATTGACTTTCTCAGTGGGAAACCTGGGCCTGTTTAGTTGAACACAAGGTTCATATGCCGACAGTAATTGAAGGAAGAGAAAAGAGTATTTCATCGATCTGCCTGTCACTGTCACCTTGACAAACAAACAGAACTAATCTACAGTAAATAGATAATTGATTTTTTCTTCAATTGGACGTCTGGCTTTACCAACTCTGTGGGAGTCTGTGAGGCCGACTGTCTCCTCAGGTCTGTGACTGATGTTTGTCAAACTTCACTCCTTTATTAATCTCAGGTTAAACTCACCCTCGATCCACTCGCCAAAAAAAGCAGTTTATTCATATCTGATTTATTTATTGGGTGAAGTCTGTGGAGCCACTGCAGAAATAGTACTTTATGGTGAGGAGTTTTATTTTATTTTATTTTATTTTTTTATCAATGGGTTTCAGCCCAGGATAACGCTACAATTCATTTTGGCATAATCTTCATAATCTCTTGTTTAACTGTTGGACCTTGTCACTGTTCCAGCATTTATTCACTATTTCTCTTTTTTCAGTTCTCCTATTCACACCCATTATTCTGTGATTTTATACAACAGCACTGCTCACGTAAGGCCACTCACCCATGCTACTAAAAGCTTTACACTCAACGATAGACTTTATTCCATTTGCTGCCTTTTTATTTTAAATCAAAACGTCAGGGCTTTTAGGGCACAAACAGCACAATTCACCTTGTTTCCCAATGTTCCCACCGGGATGAAAGCAGAGGTTAAAGGACCTGAAGTTGCCTTAATGAAAGGTGGCCAAGCACATCAACCAAAAAGTGGAAATACAGCAAACAAACAGAAAGCCAATTGTGCAGCAATTCAATTTCAGAGTGACCTTTAAAACACTCAGGCTTTCACTTCCAGATAAACTGGAATAAAAGCTGGTAAAAAAAAGGTTATGGCAAAAAATATTTTTGAAGGGATGTAAAGAATTGTGCGCCTGTGAAAATACATCCAGGAATCACGTCTCAGCATGTGTTGGAAACAACAGTTGTGGTGCTGTGAAAAGTGTCCAGAGTTTGTTTTGTTTTTGTTTAACATTTTTCATTTTTTACATTTCTCAAGTCACATCGTGAAAATGTCCATGATCTGACTTGTCAACTATGTGACATGTCCATGATGTGACTTGTCCACATAGTGACTTGTCCATGATATGACATGTCCTGCCGTCGCAGCTTTGTGCTCCAGATTTATTCACCAGAGGAATTCAAATGAGGATTTCTTGAACCAAGGATGTAGGAGTGCATTGATTTATTTCCAAATCTCTGTCTGAGCTGCTGGCATTTACCTCCCCCCCAAATCCCCCTCCACCTCGCCTGCCCAGCTGCATCCGAGGATCAGTGTCTTTAAAACTATCAGACACCTCCACCCTTCCTGTCTGTTTCTCCTCTGACGTCACTGGGTCTCTGGTCATCTCCGGTGGAGGTCCTGTTTTCCTGAGCCTGCGGCCGCTCCTCTCTGCTTCTGCCGTTCTCTTTCTGACTTTAATCTGTTTCATTAATTCCTGCACTTGTGCCAGTTTATGGTGCCATTTTTCTGATAATAGCCTTTTCCCCAGAGCCCTGGGTGAAATTCACACACACTCTGACAGACACACACACACACACACATTTATAATCACGCGCACTGCCAAGGGCTATTTATCATTCTGTGTCAAATAACTCTGACTTGATGATTTACATGCTGAGCTTTGACAGATTTAAATGGCAATAATTGACGTGGGGGTGAATAAAAGTCCATCAGAGTTCCAGGAGCTGAGCTGACTTCTGTAGGATTATTCTATTTCCAACCTGACATTTACTTCTCAAAGCCACGCTCAGTCTGACTGGATCAACTTTCAGTGTAGTTAGCCCCAGCAGCGCTCGGTGCATTTCTTCAACTCGATGCTTTTAAGAGCTTTGTGAACCTGCTGTAACAGGAGCAGGAAACAACATGGAGCAGCATTAACGTCAGGCCTTGACATGACATCACTGAACCCTCACACGGACCATTCCGGTTTGATTCTCCAGTATTTTAGATTGCTGTGAAGTATAACGCACAACTGTTTTCCATTTTCCCATCGGTGATTCTGTGAGCGATTCCCAGGTCTACACGTACTTATCCAGAATATCTACACCTGGCTTGACATAGTCCTGCCTTTTCATCCTGGCACTGAACACGTGCAACCAATTGAACCAAGATGTGCGGATCAGAATAGGTCAAGCCGTGCTATCGCCGTTATCCTGGATATCGTTATTCTGCTTTTGTGCACTGCCCCCCAGCAGTCAAACCAGTGTTTATCTTTTATTATTTCACCCATCCTCCTGCCCCCAGTGCATGCTGGGATTAGCTCCAGCTCCCCCATCATTGGGAAAAGAATAACTGTAGAACAGGGAACAGATGTAGAACACGTTTTAACCTAGGGTTTACTGTTTAAATGACCAGACTTAAGGTACTTGAGGTACTGATTGGATGGATGTTGCTCTGTGGCACATTATGATTCCACCCTTGCAGAATTACTTATTACTTAGGGGTACTGATTGGATAGAAGTTGCTCTGTGGCACATTATGATTCCACCCTTGCAGAATATGCTACTACACATTATAGAATTATATTTTTTAAATTTTATTTGCTCATGACATACCAACACTCCCTTTGCAATTTACTGTAAGATCAAACCAACTCAAAGATGTTTCCGACGAAGTGTCTCAGTTTTGTTAAGACGTGTTGAAAGTCAACTATACTTGAACTTTTCTTCAGCACATTAACCTTTCCTGTTCCGTGACTGTGCAGTGGTGAATGATGTTGTCGTCAGTGTTAGCTTGTCAGCTAACAGGCTAAGGCTTCCCTTTGTTCTGTGAAGCTTCACTTGCAGAAATATGCAAATTTACCTTCTGTGCTGCATCTGTGTTTTCAAAGCTTTTAAAGTTTTTAGTGTCAGTGATAGTGTGTGTGTGGGGGGAGGGGGGGGCAGAGTTGAAGAGGTGCGTAAAACAGTTACCTTCTTTGAATGTCTCCTGATTCTTCAACAATGTGCGCTGACACCACATCTGAAGGCTTCTACCTGCTCCAGCTCTGGCTCCTGTCTTTAAGCCGTCTGCTGTGGTTATTGTTTCTGACTCTGACGGCTGTGGCAGCTCATTAAGTCCATCAGAATGTGGTTGACAAGGCCACCGCGGCAGAGCTGAGGCTCGACAGCCCTCGTTTTATTCACTTTTATTCATAAGATGAGGAGCGTGTGTGCACTAATGATAATATTCAAGGAGTTCAGTTTTTATAAACTGTAGATTTTAGTTTTGGAAAATGATGAAAAACATCATTCACCTTAAGTGGAGGCCTGGTAATTAATTTAAACACAGTTAATCACATGTATCACAAATATCAATATTCGACACGGTGAAAAGGTTTTACATTTAGGTTAAACAACATGAGTGTTTGTTTTTTCAATACTAATCTGTGGATTTTTCATCAGTACTACAGTCACACATTAGTACTACATCACAGGCCTAACACGTTTTTCTTTAAAGGAAACACATTCTACTACATTTATGAAAATCAATATGGTTCTTTGATGTCTAACTGAAGTGGTAGTTAAATGCTGTGGTTAAAATATGTGTGTGTGTGTGTGCGTGTGTGTGTGTGCAGGTAAAGCCCGGTTTATTCACATGGGTGAAGAGGTTGATGGCGTGGACATGAGGGCAGAGGTCGCCCTGCTCAGTCGAAACATCCTGGTCCACGGTGTGATGGAGCCCACCTGCTACGGCAACGAGGCCTGCAAATTCTTCGACTTTGACACGTTCGGTGGACATTTAAAGGTACTGCATGACTCTGACACGATGGTTTAGCAATCAGGTCATCGGGTCATCATTATTGAACAGTCCCTTTAGAATTCTGCTGCAAGTATTACACAAGTTTTTTAAAATACGTAAATAAGCACTTTTCAATTGTATTTGGTATCATTAGCTAAATTTCTTATAACTTGAGGAAATCGTTAATTTATTTGACAACCCACTGATAAACTGAGCCCATGGCCTTCGTTCTCATTGCCGTTCCTCTCAAATACTGCTGTCGTAGTGACTCAACACAAGCCACAAATGGTTCCACATTTGGCAGGTCCAAATATAAAACACTTGTGTTGTGGTTTAAATGTCATGTGATGATGCTGGGATTAATGTGGTCAGAGGAGGGAGACACTGAATGATGGAGGGGGACAGAAGGAGGCGGCGGGGGTTCAATTCCGCATGTTCTGTCTCTGTCTATTTATTACAGTCTATAATAAGTTTGGTCGATAAGTTAATATCACATTTCCTCATGCACCGGATGCCGGAGTCAGCACACGTCAGCTGGTCACGATCCGAGAGCTGAGAAATCAGGACAAATATGTGCAGTATAGAGTATTTCATTGAGCTACTGCAAATATTTAGTTTGGAGTTAGGATTAGGATTAGGCCGGGGTTAGAGTCAGGGTATGAATAAGGATTAGGTATACGTTTGTAATAGATAAGGTTAGAATAAGAAGTTGTATGTTCTATGTGGAGTCTTAACAACTCATGAAAACCAGACTGTTTATGTCGGAGTATTTGTCAGGGAGAGGAGTCTGAAAGGTGATAGGAAAGACACCAGGGGAGGGCAGTCAACAGAATGTAAGTGCGTCTTCATTAGAGTATTGAGTGGTGGATGGTGAGGTAATGGGGGGGGGGGGGGGGGGGAAAAGGAGGGGGGGGACTGGCAAGGGCGGGGGGGCCGTGGAGTGGGTGGACTCAGCAATGGCAGAGCAGCCTGTGAGTTGACTGAATCCTGGACACCAGAGCAACATGATGTGGTCCAGGGGTGTGGTCTGGGGACGTGGTCTGGGGACATGGTCCGGGGACGTGGTCCGGGGGTGTCCTCACAGTCTGCTGCACTCACAGGAGCTTCAGTGATTTTAGAGCAGCAGTTGACTGTATTCAGCTGCAGGTATCTGCTGCAGGCTGATCCTTAATGGCTGTATTTGAACTTGTCTCCGTGGTAGAAAATCATCTGACATTTATAGCAGAGCGGTACTTGTTAACCAGCTCAGGCAGAGATCACTTCATTGGTTTTGCCACTGAATAAAAAATGTAAAGATTAATGCTAGCACTTAAGAAGTCAAAAATAACTCTTAGGCTACAGAAGCCAGAAAATTTACATATTAAAATCCAATTTGCCCTGAGGCATTTTTCAATTTGTCTGTTTAATGTTGAACAAGACAAAAAAGATTTTAATTTGAGATTTTGTTTGAAGACGGAAAAATATTGAGTGCAGAGACGCTGTGCATCATCACCAGATTCACAAATTGCTTCTTTCCTCCTAATTCTATTTGACACTGTTTTACAACGACCTGATGCGACTGTGGCTCCAGTTTGTGGAACAAAAGGATGTTTTCATCAGCTCGTCCCTCTGCTCCCTCATGTCTTTTATGCACTGATCAATCTGATCTGACCTCAGCTTTATTCTCTGCACCGTCACGTCAGCTGTCTCTAAAATGTTCTTTCATCACATCATTCTCTCATCTTTGTCATCTTTCTGTTCTGCCTCCTTATTATCCCTCCTTTTTAAGTTTCTGCCCTTTTCCGTCCACACTGCCTCTGTCTCCTGTACTTACAGTAAAGCGCACTCCCCCGGACCCCTCACACTCCCACACACGCACAGCCTTTTACGCCATCCTCTCGTTGTTGCTTTTTTTCATTGGACATTTAGAAACTATCTTTATGGAAATCAAGCTGTGGTTTATAACTGTATTTTTCAAAGTGGGGGAGTTAGGTGGGTCGGAAGATTCGAGGGAAGATAAGAAGTAAATGCAAAGTAAAACCCAATCTTAAATTATTTTTATCGTTATTATTATTTTATAACTATTTGTCCTGAACCATACAACACGTAAAATGCCGTAATCGTGGGATGGTGAAGTTTCCCGATGGTACCTGAACGCACCATGTGTGGAAACCTCGGCATGACGACCTATCACATCGCAGTCTCCGTGCACCTGGCGGTTTGTACCTGTTATCAAGCTGCTCTTCTCCTCAAGCTAGCATACGGCTAACTAGCCAAAATGGATACGTTTTCGACAAAAATAAACCGTAGGAGAAGATTATTACTAAGTTTATTATTAAGTTTATTATTCAGTTGGAATGTACAGTACTGAAAACACGTTCGGTACTAACTTCTGTATGCTAAACGAACGTAATACTGAATAGCGAATTGTTCAGACCAGAACTCCTGTTGTGATCTTTTTTACAGCGATTTCCGAAGTATTTACATTAGATATGCTTTTATAATCGTTATTCTATAAAGTTATTCTCTTACACCTAACGTTGCCCTTAATATTTAAGGATTTTTATTTCTCTTTTCTAATTTTTCAAACCTAACTGCGGTTCTGCAGTAAAGTCATAGCACAAGTACATGTTGTACATGAGTGTCTGATTAAGTTTGTTTTTTATAGTATTTTTTAAACACATTTTTTCTCTAGCGCGTCCTAATATAATTCTAATTTACATAATATGGGCAAGAAATATATTCTTACATAATTTTCGCTGTTACAATATTTTTTTAAGGATTTAGGTTAAATGTGCTTTTTGAACCTGGGCTGTAGAATTGAAATAGATTTGATAGACTAGGGATTATTAGGAATATATGTGGGGGAAAAACACAAATGTCGTTCAGTGAATTTTTTTACATTTACTTCTACTGGTTGTTCTCCATAACAAATACATTATCATCAGTTAGAGCTGATGTGTAAACACAGCAGGAGTGATGGAGCAGTGAAGTGCCTCCTCCAAATGTGACCTACAGGCAGCGCTGCTCACCTTGGTTCTCCAGATGTTCTGCTGTCGTTAGCTGGTCTCACCCCGACGCTCTCCCACTGCGGTTTTCATATTTGAACATCAGAGAGAATGATGTGATAATTTAATGTGATTAAAGCAATCCACACACAAACCTGATTTTAGCTCAGATTTTTTTTTAAGCTGTGTCTGTGATTTTCTTCCAGGTGGAGCGAGGCTACAGGGCTGTCCACGTGTCTGGGATGGAGCTGCTGCACATGGGCCAGCAGACCATGGGCCACTACCCTGTCCACTTTCATATGAATGGGGATGTGGATGAGAAGGGAGGCTACGACCCCCCCACCTTTGTCAGTGATTTGTCCATTCACCACTCCTTCTCTCGCTGTGTAACCATCCATGGCTCCAATGGACTCCTGGTCAGTTTCCTCTTGTTGCTTTACTTTTGCATCTTTTTTTTTACAATACTGTGCAAATGTTTTAGGCAGCTGTGTATATGAACTATATCACCTTTTTAAAAAAACATATTGAGAAACAGAATTCAAATATGGTTCATAGCCTGGCCTGTGGCTCCTGTCGTTGAGGTAGCAGTTGTGATGCCCCCACATGGTCAAACACAGGTGTGCAGCCTCTCCCGTTGGAAGGTTTTATGCAGTTATTAATCACTTGCAATCTTCAGTCTCCACCAGTTATGTCTGAATTTATACTGATGCCTGGAGATGTTTGTAGAGAAATCCCTTTGTTATTTTCAAAAATAAGTTTTATTTCAACTCGTTTTAGAACATTTTGACTTCCCCTCTCATTTGAATGGAAAAATCCTGTCAATAGCTTTAAAAGAAACTGCCTTAAACACACTGCATGCATTTATGCAGGGAGAGAAGAACCCTGTGGAATCACTCTATTTAGATAATCGCCATTTGCTGTCATTAGAGTGCGTGTGGCGTCTCCAGGAAATCAGCCTGAGCTGCCAAGTGAGGTCGCTAATGTTAATGTTCAATGGGCCTCAAAATGTGGAGGCAAAGAAAGCATTAACAACTAATGCTCCTGATGAACGTTCACTGCAGTGATTAAGGAGTCATTTTAGAAAACAGATTCCATTTCTTTCACGTTTTTCATACTTTCCTGTTTAATTTTTTATTTCACGGGGTGGGACTTCAGAATGTGTTGCGTGACTGTTGACTGTGTGTCTTTACTGCTCCCAGGTCAAGGATGTTGTGGGCTACGACATGTTGGGCCACTGTTTCTTCACAGAGGATGGTCCAGAGGAGAGGAACACCTTCGACCACTGCCTTGGTCTGATGGTTCGAGCAGGCACCCTGCTGCCCTCAGACAGGGACAGCAAAATGTGTCGGGACATCACCGATGGAGCCTATCCTGGATATGTGGCCAACCCACGGCAGGACTGCAGGTAGGAGAACTCTTCAGGAGGGAATGCAATAGAATGACTATCTGCTGTTTGTGCAAAAACAGCACAAATAGAAAAGAAAATTCCAGGAGAACAGCAAGTATTTTTGCTGCTCAGCCTGCAGCATATCAAATGTTGAATTGTCATATTTATTTCTAAAATATCATATTCTGAGGAAAATGATCTTAAACTTTGCATTCAGATTGTGCTCAGGACAATCTGCTCAAATAACACATTATTATAGAATGTACAAAGTACTGTTAAACTTATACCTACGTCTAATATTTATGCACTGGATTCATGTTTTGCTGTGCTAATGAACTTGTTTCAGTTTTATTTTTAATTACTTGTCTGTGGTTGTCAAGTTCTGGCTCATCACCCTTAAGGGGGCCTACTCTGTTTTTGTTGGATTTATTTATTATGTTCTTTTCAAATACTGCAGTAATACTCTCATGACAAATGTGAGCATTTAGCCAAATAACAACAGTGCAATTCCTGTTCTGCAGCAGCAGGTTTTGCACTTCTGTCAAGCACTTGAACTTTTACATTTTCATTTTAAAAGCAACGCCAGTGATTGAATTTAAAAGAACACTTTCTCACAGGAAATGGAACAAACTGGAGAATAAGGAATGTACTGTTCTTGAAAACACACTCAGAGTGGGAAAGGGCAGAGGATGAAAATAAATTGGCAATGATGTGATTATGACTTAAAAACCTGTGCTCTCTCCCTCTCCCTCTCTGTCACACACACAAACACACACATACGCGTGGGGGGGGCTCACTCCATCACACACTCGCTCACAGTGCTTTTTTGTCCGGTCGGTCTAGGTTGTGAAGGCGCAGGCACCTGCAATTACTTCTCATCCATTAAATGATGGCTGACATTTTCAATTATACACTGGCTTTTTTAAAGGTCAGTGAGAATTCCACATTCTGTCATCAACACAGGAACACACAAACAAATGAAAAGTGGTAGGTGTGGAACTTTGGAGAAAGCGTGTTTATGGGAAAGTAATGCCGCTCAACCTTTCTGGGGTTGTACGTTTGACAACGATGCAGTCTGTGTGTGCAGCAGTAGGTAAAGATGAACGGAT